TATATATTATATATATAAAAAGCTAGTGTAAATGCTTCCATGGTGTGGTCACAAGCTGGAAAGATGAATGCCTTTCAGCTATTAACCATCCTGCCATTTGCAACAGGCTTTAAAAAGTCATTTTTATCCTCAGACATAATGTGAGCAGTTTTCAAAATGAGGCTGCCAACACTGACTGATGTGCTGATGGGCAGGCAGCTTGCATTGCTAACAGATGTTGTGATCGGCTGACTGAAGCAAGAAGTTACGGGCAGGATTGTTTTCTGCTCCTCCCTGAGGAGAAAAATAAGTTACACAAATATTAAACAAGTACATGCACAAGTATCCGAAACTGAATTGTGTGCATTAAATAAATACTGACGTAAACTCATTTTTAGCAACAGGCTAAAACATCTTACTATGGAACGGTACGCTCAAGATGTTAAATGCAGTCTGCCTCATTTTCAAAGGCTGCATTACACATTAAAGACTACAGAACATATAAACCTAAAATAGTGTATTTTAAAACCTACCTCTCTATGGAGATTTGTGCAAACGGTATGACATTTAACCTTTTGAAGTTTTTCTCAATTTCTGTTAACTATAAAAATACTTTTGCATTTTTTGCTTACTGAATGTGAAAGGTTTTTTTAACAGTTGTGACACGTTTCCGTATATATGATTACAACAATGCATACAACAATGGTACCATCCTGTGACTTTCATATTTGTGACCTAATTCTATTTCTTAACAGGTTCTTCTCACTTCACCATGTATATACACAATGCAGATGTCTAATCCAAGTCTGAGTAGGTATGTAGTTCATCCTTAAACAATCATGCTTCAACTATTCTGATGCTGCTGTTTGTCTAATACTGGCAGACACTGCTGTTTTGTCTAACACTCACAGAATCACAAGGTCTTCACCTAAACTTTGTCTCTTCTGTTCCATAGATTCTTTCTGGTGCTGCTTTAGCGGATGCCCATTCTCTACGGTTGTTCCATTGAGCAGCTGATCATCTTGAGAACTAATACCTAGCTGTATATCCAGAATCTCCTACAGGAGAAAAGGAGAAATGTCCATCAATACTGTCGCTACCAGCTTTAAATTTTCCTATTATGTTCCACTACATAAAGCTGATGGAAATGGGAGTCTCGTCATAAGACTCCTTATTTTTATTTCATACTATTGGAATGTCTACCACATTTTACTATAGGAAAAAAGAAAAAAATCAATTATTCAAAGATGGCAGTGAATGACAACAGTAGTATAAACATCAGTTGCTAAAAAATGGTTTGTCTGGTGAGATATGAAGGAGGCAATACAGACAGAGAGCTGTTTCAATAATTAGGGGAAGAGGAAAGGCTAAAGATAAAGGTCCTTCCATTCATATAATGGCAATTCACAATTCATACTACAGTACTGCATCACACACCACAGGCAGAGCAAACAAAAGCTATAGCCAGTACTGTAAGCCAGTACTGGAATGTATTATGGAGTATGTTCCAGATAAGAACCTTGATTTCTTTTAAGCGTACGATGCTTTAAAAAAAACAGGGCAATTGATCCTAATGCCTGGAATGAACACCAGAATGTTTTATGACTGCACACCAAAGGAGGAAATCGCATAGAAGAAACTGGGGCAGATGCACAGAATTACAGACAAACAATGAAGTAGCAGTGAAAACAAAAGAACACTGGATTACAATCACTTAAATGACTTTACTATTAGAATCAGGTGAGCACAAAGTTTAAATTAAATGTAAAACATTCTTAACTACAGTTTCAACACTGGAGGGGAAGGGGAAAGGAATGGGCTCGCCATCATTACTAATGCTATTAAAAGATAAAGAGCAAAAAGCTGAAAGCTATGACAAAGAACACAGTGAGCTGTTTTTAACTTCGGTAATATTAACCGCTAGGTATCTGAATGAGAAGTATGAGACCCCTAGTGTTAAAATATGGCAAATGTTTGGTATCACTACAAAGACTAAAAACAAAAGGCTTTGCTATCAACATAATCTACTAATTCACAGAGAAATTTTAGAAGTTTTTTAATAACTAATGAAAGGACCCAGTGAGCTCTTTAGACACACAGATTTTCGTACTTACTTCAATTTGTTCACCTTGCCCATCAGGTTCATCTGTATCAAGGGCTGACAGCTCCAATTCAATGTCTCGATCTGGCTTTGTGTCTGCACAGTCTTCAGTATAATCAGTCTGAAAAACAGAATTAGTACGTTCTGTAAGCATCAAGTTGGCTTTTCACCTGCTTCACACAACACTCAAGTGTGAAAACAGAAGATGCATTTCTAGGACACAACATTTCTACAATACAAAAGAGCTAGTTAGACACAAATAGAACTTTGGGCATAGACAACATAGGATATAAAGCTAAATCTAATCACATTAAAGTACTGAAACAGAGAGATAAAGTGAAAACTGAAGTAGAAATTTCTGTAGAGTCCATTGGCAGAATGTTTAGATTTGTAACATGTACAAGCAGAACGAAAAGTAATGATTACATGAAAATGGATTGTCACATTCTTCCCGTTTTGTAAATGGATGATTGGAGCAGCAGCATAGCAGGTGCACCTACCTGATCTTAGGGAAATAACTGGGTGCAACAACAACAGTGACTTAACTTGCACAGAATGCGTTATAAATATTTGGGAATGTTAAAACTAAGAGTTTTAACACTCAGTTAAAATGCACGCACTTATGTATATACAAAAAAACTCAAAGATTTGTTTCATCCCAATTACCCCTTTCTTTACCTCACCATTCCTCAAATCAATTTCCTTGCTTAAAAGATTTAAGGTAAGACGACTGCCTTCATCTAGAGAATTCCACTTCTGTTGCATGGCTAGTGCATTCGCCTCTCTCTGAAGTAATAATGAGTTACTTTTGGCCTACGGAGAGAAACATATCAGTTACCAACTACACCTAAACCATGTATTGTCATACCGCAAAATAAACCAGCTTATAAAAAGAACAGTTCTCTTGCTAGATGGATAACTACGTATTCCTTTAATGCACAGCATTTATTTTGTTCTGCACTTGCTGACATGTATCAGGCTCACCACCTTCTCCCAAACATGGCCTTACTGATGTCAATGGAGCAGCTCATATTAGCAGTCCTTATGCATCATACTAAGTCTTGTGGTGCTAGCATCTAGTTAACCCTTATGATCATTTTGTCAGTTGTACTATTTTCTGTAGGCTACACTAAGAAAATTTATTTAAAATCACTTTACTAAATCACTTTTTTTTTTTTTAAATTAAAAAACCCACATGGTCTTACCTGCTGTAATTCAATACTCAATAGATCTCCAGTGCTGGAATGCTTTCTGTGACCAGACAAATCTGTAACTATGAACCTGTCCCTTTAAGAGAAAGAAGGCAAAACCAGGAATTAAAAACAAGTTCTCTAAATCAAAGGCCCCATAAACTTAATTAGTCTACCAATGCTAGATCTTTGGACAGAAACTATGTGACTAAAGATAATGTGCTCTTCATCTTCATTGGGCTCACAATACCCCAAGGCATTATATGAAGCAAAACATCCTTATTTTACATAGGGGTAAGATGTGGCAAGAAAACTTGAGAATAACTACTCAGGATCACAGATTTTGACATGACAGCTTGACTGTACCTGACTCCAATTCTTTGATTAGGTCTCTCAAGAGATACATTGCTTATAATAATTGGGTATTATTAGCTGCACTAAGTATTAAAGACTACACAAGTTTTAACCTAGTTTTTCCACGGCTTTATGCTGGATACGAAAAAATCTTTTACTTTAAAATTAAGAATGTCTATTAATAGTTCCAGATTTCCGCCGCCCCATTCACAATTTTGAATAACAGCAAGCTACAGAAAATACTTTTAACAGAACACAGAAAAAAATTCCGTACCGTTCCGCATAACGTGCCGATGAAGGAGAATCTGAGCCATAGGCACTCCATCTTGAGTCAACAGCATTGACATAAGGGACATAATCTGTAACAAATTAAGATACCATTCTTTACCTTCTCTGTTCTTGAAGTGGGATATACAGGTATTTTAGCTCTTTGCATCTTCATTGCTGTAGTAAGCATGAACAGGATGCAATGCTCATGATGAATGCTATATTGTCATACGAAGTCTGTTCTTGTACCTGATACACTGATGGGCTTAGTAGCACTTCCTTGGGAAGCAGTGGCCTGAATAGGATCTGTCGTGTGGTAACCGGTGCGGGATGACCTGGAGATTGCACCCCACTTGGAGATGATCGGTCCATCGCTAAATGGGATTATAGGATCTTCTTCCTTTGCCCTTCTCTGAGTTTCAAATAAATGCACTCTCCTTTTAACATCCCCGCTGTCCAAATCCTACATATTTAGGAGATAGAAGGTACAAGGACTCATTTGAGGTTATTCAGATTCTTCAGTTGGCCAATAACTTTCTGATTATTGTTGCTGAATACTACGCTGAAAATCCATCCAACTAGAGAGCCAAGATGGGCCTCAATGGTTTAACTATTGTCCTTTAATGGCAAACTGATCACAAGAAAGCTATTGCCAGTGCTAGAAGAAATAATTTTGCTTTTCCAAGCTTGTGTTTCCAGGCAGAAAGAGTTCCAGTATGCTTTAAGGTCCTTCAGTACCCTTTCCTATACTTGAAGGAGGTAGTATCAAAGAAGGCTTGGGATGAGATTTGGTTACACTTGTTTCATAAAACGTAAAGGTAACCTGCTACACTATACAGCAGAAAGTCTCCAAAAAGCATGAGCTCTTACCCCTCCAGAGGTAAGCTGTATTCCATGATTCATACTACGTATTTTTTGTTCCTTAAAGTCTGTCAGTTAGCTTTTTTTTCCTCTCATGGAAATTGGGCGATAAAAAGTAAGTTGTATTTTATTTTCACAGATTTGTTGGCATTAAACTGATTATTAGAGGAGAATGTGCCTTCCAACCAAGTAAAAGGTGTAGTCTAGGAAAATAGTTCATACAGATTCTCTGTGGGTACAAAGCAGCCAAGATTAAGTTCATGCTGATTATTCTGGGTCCACAGTATTTCAACTTTTCTCTGTGAGTGTATATTGCTCTTGGGGCTAACTTCAAAGTAAAGATTTTCTGAAACAATGGCAACGTAAAAAATATCTAGAATCCTGAAAAGGCCAGTGATGCATTCATATGGGACAGACTATTGCACTTAAGCCAAGGAGGAAATGTGTTTCTGCAGCGGAAACACCTGCTCTGAACTGGCCACAATGACCCTGTATTAACCAGTCAAGCCTGCCACTGCAATGTATTCCAAGACTACTTTAAATGCCTCAGAAATTGTAAGGATGTGTGTACACACACATAGATTTAAAGAACTCTGAAGAGAGACAAACAAAATTAAGAAGTTAAAAATTTTTATCCCGCTCTAATAATCAGAGAACACATTTAAAATTAATTAATTCTTATCAGTTACAGACCATCTACTCAAAATATTTTGGCTACAAGTTTGATTTACAGAGATCTGTTATTAAAATAGTTGTTTCAGACATCTGAGAATTTTATTCATGGCACTACATTCTTTCACTGACGTAAATACATTGTTTATTTACAAAGCTGGGAAAAGACACTCCAAACAACTTCAAATGGGCAGAACTACTTTAAAATACTAAGAACAAAAGCTATCAACTTTAAAAAAAGGCTTGTTTAACCAAACAGAAGACACTTCAGCATGTAAGTATCATTACACTAGTGAGATAACATGCAGAAAACCCCTACCATTAAGACGGCATTTGAATTGGCAATCACATCCTTGGGCTCTGAGTCGATAGCATTTATACAAGAGCCAATAGTGCCACAAGACCACGGTGAATAGTGAGAGAGATGGTCTTCCTCAAATTTAGTTCCACTCAAATCACTGACACTCTCTGAGAACTATGGAAAAGGGAATAAATAAGCAGTGAATAATAAAAACAGGGAATTCAGTATTAAAATAAGACATTTGCTGCTATTTAATTAATGATTTCAAAAGGCAGTCAAGGAGTTCTAGCCATATTCAAGACTTGACTCAGGGACAGCATAACCTGTTCAGTCAAATTTTAAACCAGTACAGCTGTCAAAGAAGGGCAAGCTTTGCCACTACAAATAACTGCCTAGTCTGCCAAGATGAGAGACTGAAATCAGTGTCACTATGTCAGTGGCAAGTTTCTTCAGGCAAATACCTACAGTAATTAAATTGAGAGGAAGCCATGCATTTTCCTTTAACGTATAAACCAGTGGCAGGTAGAAGTATGACTTGGAACCCTCCAATCTGGATGAAAAGGCCTAAATCCTGATCTACCTTGAATGCGCCCATAAGGGACTTCAAGGACTTTACAAGACCTTTTCTGAATGACCACAGTCCAACACCTCAAATATCATCAATGGAACTGTCAAACCACAGCAAAGAGTGCTTGGCACAGTGGTTCTCGAACTAGTTTCTTGGATGCATTTAATTTACACATATAGAAAATAAATATCACAATTTTTCTTTTTTCTTCAAAAGCACACTGTTTCTATTTGTTGAGTTTTCATTCTTGTTTACAGAACTTATCACATAAGTACACAGTGTTCTACCAATGCCTTTTGCCACTTTAAAGGGGTATGTATTCTCTGGGACTTGATGAACAGCAGCTTGATTCAGTCTACTCATCATGTCATAATGACATTTGGACTATGAAAGGGAAAGTCCTTCTTAATAAAAAACAATTGTTGTTAGAGGTTCACAAAGCTAGTTCAATAAAATTACATTTCCTCTAGTGAGGGTAAATTGAATCACTTCATTATTAGATATTACTTTCCTTTTGCTAGAAGATTAAATTAATTTTATGAACAATAGATGGCAGGTAGAAAATCTTTACTAGAATTATTAAATGGCATCTTACAGAAACAGGAAGGGAAAATAAAGAAGTTCTTTGGCTTCCCACCTCTGTGCTGAAATCTACACTGAAGAGAGGAGAAGGTGGAGTTGGAGATGGTGTTGCCATAGAAAGGGTTGACGATACCAGAGGAGTCTTCTGCGTGTGATACTGCGCCCATTGCTCTGGCTTTCGTCTTAATTGCTCATCATAACCAGTCTTCAAATGACCACAAGGCTCCTAGCAGTAATAAATATAGGACTGTATATCCTATCATACTCTAATGAGAAGGCAAGTACTTGCACGGGACACACTTGGACACCCAAATCCCCTTGGGTCTGTAACCTTCCATTGATATCACTAGAAGAATTTCACAAGGATTTGCAGGAGAACCTGGCCCATGTATGGCAACTCAAATCTTAAATATGTAATTAATTCAGGCAACATGCATGGGAATTAAGGCGGCAGAGGGGATGTGGTCTTAATGCAGATTAGAGTGGTCTATTTTACAAGCCCATTTTATTAAGGTTAAAAACAAAACAAGAACTTTGTCCAGGTCACATGTCTGGATCACTGTAACCCCAAATAAACAGAAGAGGTCTATGCTAATTATCTACCAACTTTTCAGTAATGACCTTCAGAATCAAGACTACATCCCTCCCTTTCTGCTCTCACTTACCCTTGGTAAAGGCACAGTCCTCTGTTCGTTTGGAGGTTGACAAGCCACAGAGTAATACCCATCCAAAGAGTTGTATCTCTCACGTAATGATGTCTGATAGACAGATGAGTGCATCACATCCATGGGAGGTAAAGAATTGCTCCTAATAATATCATCTCGTGGGTACATCTGTGGGCGCCAGATGCGCCTGCTGTCATAAACTGGAGCATACATTCCAGAAGGGACAGGAGGAACTGGTCCATACGGCTGCGGAGGAGGAGGTTGGTAAGGAGAATTCAGTCGATCTCGAGGGGGAAATGTACTGTAATGATCGGCATATGGCACGGAAGCAGGTGGGAGGGAGGATTCTGGAACGTTATTGGACCTCACAAAGCGAGGAACACAGGGAGCCACACCAGCTGGTACTGTTGGAGGTGGTGGATAATATCCTTAAAAATTGGAAAAAGGCATATTTAATGTAACCACAAATGACCCAGAATCTTACACCTTCTAAAACTGTAAATGGTGTTGATAAGTACCTTTAGAGAATGAAGAGTCACACTTTACAAACCTGTTACTGACCCTATTGTATTTCTGTGGAATATAATTTCATGCATGAGAACCATATTTGCAGACGTAGTGGTGACCCTTTACCACCTTGATCTAATTTGGAAAACGGAGTTTCTCTGCCATTGCTCCTATGTACTATGGTATAACTATGTAACCGAAAAGACAGCCTCTTAAGTACTTCTTTATATAGGAAGTTAAAATAGTTATCTCTAAAATAAAAAGCTGCATTGCTAAAAAAACCCCAGTAATTCCAAAGGTCCATAAATAACCATTTCACACTTGGCTTATTCTTTTTTCTTTCAAGAGGATTGTCTGAACACCTTTACCTTTTGTTTTGAGAGCTTGTGAATGACCTGATGCTATAACACCTAATTGTTTGCCTGAACATAAACATGCACACTGCAACCTAAAAAGATGGTTGGAACCTTTCAAAAACATTTGAGCAAGCACAAAGACGTATAAGTCTCACAGTAGAAGCATGCTATGCCTCTGGGTCTGAATCCTCTCTATGGATACTCTCACGGATAGGACATGAGGTGAGCAAGCCTAAATAAATGCAATTAAATGCTAACAAAGGAAAAAGTAGATGAAAGACCTTGAGGTTCAAGTTATTCTGGATGCTGAGGTACAAGTTGCATAACATACAGCACACAAAAGACAAGAACCACCAACACTGGGAGCAAACTACAGATCCCTCCCATACTCAGCAACGGACCAGATCAGTATTCCATTAAGTGAAGATTCAGCTGATACTTAAAAAAAAAAAAGATTTTCCACAAAACTGAGATAAAAGTTATTTCTCAGCATTCAGGCTTATCTAGAGAACAGTTCAGAGCTATTTTTGATTCAGTGCTCATCTCACTCACCTGTCTGCGGATACTGTGGAACTTCATATGATAGCTGAGTCCTGGGATCTTGGAAATATTGAACATTATCAGAATGTGGAGGATAGACAGGTACTCTGGGAACAAACGGGCTGGATTTTGGAGGCACAGAATTAACTTCTGTTCCAATATTAGGAGGACCAGCTGAGGTAGCTGCTGCCTGGCTTACAGGAGTCTTGGGTGGAGAACCAATTTTACTGAAAAGGATTACCAAGAAATCATTAAGCAGATCTTTACTTATTTCAGTTAGTCATCTCTTCGTGTACACTCTCATGTAATGCAGAAATTTGGGCCATGTCATTTCCTCTGGAATTTTATTTTTCATACCCCAAACTGATACTATTATTACATCTCAGACTTTCTCCTAAGAGAACTCAAAAGTAGATATAAATATTTTGGTATGTACCCAGAAGCTTACATACCACTTCTAAGTGTATTCTGGTAAAGACAAAGGCTTTGAAAAGTTGTTTAGAGGCTCAGTGCTTCCTGGAGAAGTATCTAAAAATTTTTAAGGGAAAACCCAAAAGCTAGAAGCTTTCCAAGATTATTAAGGGACTACACACTAGTGCACCCTTCTTGGTTTCAGGAAATGTCAAATTTTGAGTGCAAGTTTTTTGTTTTATTTTTATGTAATAACCCAATAGTAAGAAAGATACCAGGCTGAGAACAACAGAATGAATGATAAAGGGAGAGATTTACCATTTTATCTATATTGCATGGGAGTATTCAACAGCTAAAACAACTGATGCTCACTCTGACAACTTGAATCCACAGACTTTGTATAATGGTATCTGTACTGCAGTACAAGATCTTACACAACTCTGCAGCCAGTGAGCACCAGCAACAACTGCAAACCAGGACCAGAATTCAGTATCTATCGTTTGCCATCCACAAACTCCATGATAATCTAAAAGCAAAATGTTGCGTTTAGTTATATTCATGCAAAAAAGTTACCTACTTTTCAGGTAGTGATTCTGTAGGAGATCCAGAAACATTCTGGCCATTGGCTCCAGTCTTCCCTCCCTTCTTGGTGTTCTCCAAAGCTCTCAAGGAGGTGTCCGCACAGCGAGGGATCAATTGGGGAACACCACTTTCTAGATTAGCTATTCCATTAGTACATGGCACCATCTTCCCTGTTGCTTCAGGGCTTCCTATGACAGAAATTACGTTTCCTGTTGTGGTTGAGACGGTGCTATTTACGCCAACTTTATTTAGAAGGGGGAATGTTCTCACTGTTGCACTGATTTTTTTGTTCCTCAAGCGGTATCTATAAACAAACACATGTACAAACACACAAAAGACAGACGATTTAAAAAGTGCTTATTGTGCCATTTAATATATTTGTAAAACTAGCAAGAGGAAGGGATTGAGAGGAACATGATATCCAAAAATTACAGGACTTTAAACTGGTGCTTATTTTCAACAATCTGTAAATAGAACAAAGTCTTCCTTGTAACCAAAGATCATCTCTCCTCTTAGAAGATCCACTTCTATAGTTCTTTGAAAATGGATTTGGGTGAAAACAGCTTCAAGAATGCATATGTTACATTCTTGTAACGTTATACATAATTAAATAACTCACTTCATTCCTTAATCAATCAAAATGTAATTAATATTGTCTCTCCTGTAGGTGATATAACCAATCCCTGACAGACACTGAGCCTAGACTCAGTCTCAGGAAAGGAAATTTTACTTCATGTGTGGCAAAATAAAAAATAAACCTGGAATTAGTTTATAGATATTGCTTTACTGTACCTTCAATTTCCTGTAAAGAGTTGTCACTTCAAGAAATTCAGAAATTCTTCCAAATGAATAAATGTACAGAAGAAACTGTTTTCAAAATTCTACGAAGATTGCTTGGATTTAAATTGAAAAGAAAAAAAAAGAAAAAAGTCTCCTACACTCACTTTTCAAGCTCTTCCTGAGAATGAGCAAATGTACAGTTTGTTCCTCTTGGACATCCCCCTTGCTGTCGAAGGTCTCGGCACATACTTGTTTTATATTTGCTATTTGGTTGTGGCTTTAAAAAAAAAACAAAACCACAAGACATTCCACTTAGAATCTAATATATGTTCTCACAAAAATAGGCTTAAAATACACACACAAACACATCCATGATATGCTTTTACATTTTGAGTCCTTAATCAGAAAACTAAGGACATTTCTTGTTGATGGGCTAAGTACTATGCCATTGTATGGATCTCACTACAGCAAGCTCTGCTGCATTCCATATTCAGAAATGTTAAGTTCTCAAAACCTGAATGCAGTAAACAACAGTATCATCATCCACAGAAAAGGCCATAAATATTTCAAATCAATAGTAGTAATTTTTCATAGTTGCATCTTTCAGTAAATGTACATTAAGACATATAATGCAACAATCGAATATAGTTACCTGTGGAGTTTCATGGCCTTTTCTACTGTAATTCTGAATGAAATCCACCAGCCCATGTACCACAGTCTTTACAGCGACCATAGCATTTTCCAGCTGCTCCCATGTTGGAGATGCTGCATCTAAAATTATTAAAAGCAGGCTTGTCATTCTATCAATAATTCCAGTAGTATCATAAATAAGAGGCAATTCTTCTAGTACTTCAAAACACCAAGTACTAGGACAGAGCTCAGAGAGCCCTGAAGAAGAGTTTATGATATACTATGTTAATTAATGGGAATTTTGAAACCAGGAATGGAGGTTATCATCTCAATAATCTACTTTGCTAGATATGAAAAATATCAAGAAATGTTTTAAAAGCTTGATTTGCATACCTGGATTTGGATCTATGTTTGCCAGCAGCTCTAAATGAGGCCTCAGCCTGTTTAAGTTTGCAGGATCCCCCGTGCGCTGCAAGACAATTGTCAATTCTTGTACACTCTTTGCAAAAGATTCTGGAGATTGGAGCTGAAAACAAAGTGAGCATTAGTGTGCTGCATCTTACAACTGTGAATTACTAATCTTAAAAAGATTTTCATTAAACTGGTTCCTAAATGCAATACGTAGTGTCTTCAGATGGCATATAGAGAGTATCAGTGGAGAGAAATTTAATTTCTCAGCTCAGAATCTGCCCTATGAAGCTTCATCATAAGACACAAAAAAGGGAGTTAGACTTAAACTACTGGAAAACGAAATGTCTTCATATGAAGAATACACTACAGTGGGGATAAAACCTTCATTTTAGTTTTAACTAATATTTGATATGACTAAAGACAAAAAGTTAACTCAAGTGGTCTTGGATTTTTATTATAACATTTAACAGTCAAATCTAATCCTACAACGATACTAAAATCATCCCTTTGACGAACCTTGTCAATAATGGATTGCATGTGTGATTTATGTGCCAAGTCACCATAAAGAAGGGAAGACCATTGTTCTGGTGATATTCGAAGTCCTGCTTCCATGGCAATGTGAACAATTTGGGCATCATGTTCTCTCCGCAAAGCTTCATAACTCCGAAACTCTTCTTTAAGTTGCATCAGAGAAGAATCTTCATCCCTTTTAGTGACCTAATAAATAGTAATAGTTTAATACTCCTTTAACAAAAAAAAAATCTCCAAATCCATCAGAAAAAGACAGTTACACAGCACAAACCACAAAAGTATTGCTTTTTTATATTTAGCATATACTTCATTTTCTTCCATGTATTCATCCACTTAGCTAGCAGTGCACAGGCAGAACAGCCAGCTCTTCAAGTTTTTACAGGATCCCAGGTGCAAAACTATACCAACTCCACTACTTCCAACTAGGAAAGTAATCAGATTTGCTTAAATCACAGAAGATACAGTTAGATACTTAGTAGTTCTACTAGTAGTTTTTGCTACCCAATATTAAAGGATGACTTAAAGAAACAGGAAAGTGTCTAGAAGTGACTTAAATAACACAAAGGGAAAAAAAAATTAAGATACTGACATTTAAAGAACAGAATATTTAACTGAGACCCCACTATAAGTGTTAAGTAAAACTCTTAGGTTACATAAGACATTTGTCATAAAGGAGAGCAACAGGTCTCATTATTTTAATGTTTAGTTTAGTGACATGATAATCATGTTTTTAACTGTGATTCAAAAAGAAAAAAAGATCCATGGAATTAACTTTTCACTCTTCTCCAGATATAAAGAGTGGGAATATTCAGTTTAAATAACCCATCCCTATATATCAAAAATAAAGGGGCAGCTAGATACAGACAAAAGAAAAAGGAGAGTGTGAATGTGTTGGAACACAATGTCGGAGTTCAGGCTGACAGCACTCTCCGTGTATGGTGTCCCCTTCTCATGCCTGGTGTTGGAGCTAGGGAAGTTCCCAGGAGTAGAGTATTCCAAAAGTTTTCTTTAGAATGCTGGGCTTGGATTCTAATCTTTGAGAGCACCCAGGCCAGTCTGGCATGTCTGGCCATGGCCTACTCTTATGAATCTAAATAAAGTCAAAAGTGATTATAAGAAAACATTTCATTTCTTCCTGAAGCAGGCTACAGAGTCAGGTTTCATGCCTTTTTCAGGGGAGATAATTTCCAGATGATGGGCAGCAGTTAATAATTTCTGAATGTATCCAGCTAATTCCACATGTGACCATCTGTTCCTTTTGCAGGGAATTTTAAATATCAAACAACTGCTTCATGACAGTTCTAGAGAAAATCTTGTAGTCTACATTATTTTAATGTGTAGAAACTGAGTTTACATAACATTTTACAGGTTAAAGATACCAATCCTAGGTCGGATTCTCTGGAGCTGCACTAGTTCACAGTTACGAACTTCAAATATTGGTATTTTACCTTAAAGCATGATGCTCTATACAGTAGCTGCACAACATGACCAATGCTTGTTTTAGAGGCCTGAGGAAATCTTGGTTCTAGCCTTTGTACAACAAAAAGTACCAGAACTTTTCTCGAGAGTGCAGAGCCATCTTCTAGTGCCAGTAAGACAAGTTTCAGTGCCTCTTCTTGCATAGCTTTAACACACAAAAATAAAAGATAGGAAATGAAATATATTGCCAGAAAACAGCAAGGTTATCATATATTAACACCATAAGTAAGAGTATCTAAATCATCTTGCACATAATCCCTTATTACTTTTTATTTCACTAATCATAAGAAAAATCTTTGCAAACATCAAGAAATTTGCTAGTTTAGAAGTAGTATTTAGAAGCACTCTAAGCACAGCAAACTTAAAGAGCTAAGACTAATTTTCAGTAATAAACACATCAGTAGTGCAGTTTTTACACTTTTCTCCACTGTGCAGTCTTGTAGGCTTTGTCGTTTTGGACATCTCATCAATGCGACATCAATGCTACATCAATGCTGTATAAAATAAATATGGGAACAGTACAGCAATGCTATCATCAGTTACTGGAATCAAGAGAAGGCTACTTCCACCTTAAACATAATTTCCTTCTCATTTCTGTGCTTGCTTTAGCAACATTCTTAACTAAGAATTTGCTGTTTCTACCAAAGATATAAACAGGATCATTACAAATTTTAAAATTAAAGTAAGCTGCAACTTAAGTTAGGCTGATTGTATTTACAGCTCAAGTATGAATCAGAGAGCATTTGCAGTTTCCTATCCAATTCTAATCACAGGCAGCAGTACAACCAGCCTGTGTTACAGTTACACTGCATTACAAACTGTGCAGAAACCATGCTTACTCTTCTTTGCCAGGACTTTTAAAATACTTCCTCACAATTTCAAAGAACAGTTAATAAGGGGAAAAAACAACGCCAAAACTTTAAAACAGCAGATTTTACTAACTTGTAGTCTTTTTTTTTTTTTCCTCCTTTCTCCCTGGCAAAAAGTTGAAAAGCAGAAGTAATTACATCTTCAATCAAACACCAGAAGTTTCCAAATAATGCTTTTTGTGTTAAGAAAAGGTATAGCTAAATACACTCTGTCGCAGATTCTGCAGGTACTTTACCTGGTCCTAGAAACTGGCATCCTCGTGCCCTGACAGCAGCCCAAAGATTGGCAGAAAGCTGCTGAGGATTTTGGTGCTGCAAGATCAGTTCTGTAACGGTTCTCTCTCCCAGTGATCGAGCTGCCCTCATAGCTCTAACCCGACCCTCTTCCTCCACCAGCTGACAATTCACCAGCGTCACCAGCTTCCTTTGCATTGGACGGCTCAGTGCACTCTGATTCAAGCTTGCAACACCTTCAAAGAAAGCGAGAAAAGGCAAACTATTGCTTCTAATCAGATAAATTTATCTGAATAAGACAAACAAAAATGTCTAATAGTATGTGTCTTTCTCTAGGACTTTGATACTAGTCACAGGTATCTTCCCTTCTCTTCAGCAACTCTGTGTAATTCATTATCAAAAAGAATTTTAATTAAAGTCTTAAATAGACATCAAACCTATCCTTTGAGAGAAGTTCAGCTTTAGTACAAAGTTAGCCCCAAGGAAATATTATTAAATAAAAAAGAATATTTTGTAAACTTAAAATAAAAAAATCAAATGTCACAGGTGTGAATAAGCTTTTAAAGACGTAAGGGAAAATTTATTAAAAAAAATGAGAGGACTGTCCCATTGACACCCAACATCAGTGCTAAAACCACAATGCTGTTAAAAGTAAGCTACATCAAAATTCCGCTGTTCAGTAGAGACTCACCTTTTCCTCCACTTAATGGCTTTAAGTAGAGTGCCAAATCCTCAACACATTTCTTTGCTACTTCATAATGTTTGTTCTCTCCTACATTACTCAACTTTACTGTCTGATGATCAGGTACCTAAGAAAATGCAAGGGGGAGGAGGGGGGAGAAGAATGATATATACCCAGCTGACCTATCTGACATGCCTATGATGGCACCAACATCACTGCTATTAATTACATAACACTGCGGATGTACACTGCTTTTTTTTTTTTTTTTTAAGACAGACAGGACCCACCCCAGGTATGTAAAATGTAATAAGGAACAAGAAAAAGGACTCAAGATGAGGATCAGGGTGATGAAAGATTATTTTTGTTAGTACTCAACACATTAAGAACAAAGGTAGGATAGAAAACAATAGAAAGGTCTAATGAGAAGGTACTTAAAAGATGAATGAAGAACACAAGATTTAAGAGGATGATCAGTGTACAAGATCAGCATGATTTACTACAGAGAGACAAGGGAAGTTATAAGACAAAATTAACTGGCAAGAAAATATGAAAAAAATAAAATGCAAAGATAAAAAATAATTTAAGCATAATTTGGGCATGCTGAAATCTTCAAAGAGAAGAACTAGCAAACTTAACTTGGTGGAAAAAAAACTCTAAGTAGAGTAACAAGGTCAGACAATGAAAATAGGAGGAGTTTTAGTCACAATACATTCAATGATTTGAAAGACATTTCAAGAAGTTAGGAGATCAGGAAAATAAATGTTGTAAGATCAAGGCAGTGATTTGACACAAACTTAGAAATAAAAAAAATGAAAGGAACATGTGAACTTGAGAAGCAAAACCACTTTGACATAGATAGTGTTATTACCCATAGCTGTGTCAAGGCATGTGATGAGACATTAAAAAGCAAAGTAAAAAGCATCTTCTTACTGCATCACCCAGGTGTTATAGCGAGAGTAATATGAAAAAGCATATGAATCAGCATAAGGTGAACAGACTTATTTAGTCTCCATAAAGCACGGTACTGATTATATAATCGCTGTTTTGCCACTGCTACAAGACAGCACAGGGAACATTCCTGGCCTGATTAGCCAGTGCCTGAAAATGCAACTGAAAAGCCATCATCATGCATATTTTAAAAAAAATTATACACACACACTTCTGAAACTTGGTTAAACAGCTAGCTACTTTCGAACATGTGACATGTAGAAACAAGATTCCTTGCAAGAGTACGATGAACAAGTGCAATCTGCAGGTTCACTTTTCTAATGACAATTGTGACAGATAATTGTCTATTTCCTAATAGGTGTTTTTCTCCAGTCACAGTTCAAGAGCCTTTTTAAACCAGAATTCAGCTTACAACTAGAACGTTTTCATTTTATGAGAAGAGGATGGTCCTGAAAATGGTGTAGTCGCTTTTAGAGTACATATGGACTTCTAAATATTACATAGTTAGTCTTACCGTTTTTAGACTAAAATGAGGGAAAAAGATCAGCACACGTATTGCAACTGGCATGTAAATGGTAATAACACGAAGTGGCAAAACAAAGAGCTGCTTAAATCATACCTGGGCTCCAACTAACTGGAGGAGTGCAAAGTTTACAGGAAGCACATCGATGTCTGTATTGATGGCAGTCTGGTCGAAAGGACATGCCTTGCGATGAAGCTTGTTCAGGCAGGTCTTACAGACAGTGTGAGAGCAACCTAAGCTGATGGGTTTGTGCACATTCTCATCAAACTCGTTGTAGCAGATTGGGCAGGACAGAAATTCTGTCCACTGAGCTGCCTGCACAGGCATTGTGGAAGCTGGACACTTGTTTAGCAGGCTAGCAGACCATTATTTCACTGTACTATGTTTTGGCAGCTGTAAGTGAATAACAGAGTATTTAAAACATGCTTTCTGCTAATTTAGAATGATTTTTAATTAAAAAAAAACCCCACCATTTCAATATTTTACAGAATAAAACCAAATCCTTACGTTGAAGTACTCAAAAACCCCAACTTTGTGTTAGTTTAATAGTTGTACCAAAAAGGCTCATGAACAGAATTAATGCAGGCTACCATAACTTGAAGTCGAACCTATTCACAATAAACAGCATTAAAGTTCTTCTCATAGAATTAAATACACCTTTAGCGTAGGAAGAGGAAGACATTTATTGGCACAGAAAGCGTAAAGGCATGAATCACAGTAACCATCTCTCACACTATCTCATCTAACCTCAAGTTTTCAAAACCCTGAAAGCACTCCCTGGTTATAGAATGGGCCTGGGGTGGGGAGAAGACACAGAATTCTTTTCTTTTCTTTTTTTTTTTTTTTTTTTTAATCACGGGCAAGGGGGGAGTTAAAATGTTATTTCCATTTGAAGTGAAATAGAACAGTGCCTTCCTTCTGCAGAACTTCTTCAGACTTAATCAGACACCAAACTAAACACAGCTTTGCTTTTTTTTTTAAAAAGACATTTTCTCTTTCTGTAAAAGACAAATCAATTAACAAATCAATTAACAAAAGTGAAGAATCATAAGAAAAGAATGAGAGATTAGTTTTTAGTTTTATGATTCTCTTATGTTATTTCTCCCTTTTCTCCAAGAACCCATTGGCGCACTCAAGGTCACAGATTGCTGTATTCAGTTTTGCTTTTCACATCTCTACCTTGCACAACAATGCAACTCCACTTCCATGAACTCACAGCAAGAAAATCTCTGATGTGTTGAAAATCCAGGTATTTAGGACAAAACTTATGATAAAACAAGCAATAACTTCAATTAGCTTGCTATTAAGTCTTTTCTCTTGAAATATCTCACTCTGTGCAGTAGTACCATGCAAATTGTTCACATAAATGTATTCCAAAGAAAATACGGATTTATAGAAGTTGTAAGATGGGATGTCTTTCAGAACATAACTTACATTCTTGAAAAAGATAACAGGCCAAAGTTGTTCATCAAAACCGTTTACATTCAAGCTTTCGTCATGAAGATTTAAATTCTCAGCTTCATCTAAGGGCTAAACAGCCCCACCCTTTGCTGCAATGTGCAACGATGTTGACTTTCTACGCAACCTAGAGACCAGTTAGTTCACTTCAAGGCTATGAACAAGCTTCTCCTAGCAGCTTGTTAGAAATGCAAATACACAAATGTTTTAATTACATGTTTAACATTCTATTTTTTCTTCAATAATGGAAAAAAGGTAATTGTTTTGAGGAAGCTGAGCTCTCCCCTCCGCATTTGAATTCAGTAACTCTTTACTGCAATTCCATTGTTGGCTATGCTACAGTTTAATTAATGCTAAAGTATCGGACCATTGAAATAATTACTAGAACACCAAATAGACTCTATCTGTGGATGTATTTTACGTTAATTATGACCATCTGTTTAGAAATCCTATTTAGTACTACGAACATTCAGTGCCCTTTAAGTAACAGGATACTTGTACAAGATGTCCTTATCTCAGTGAGCTTTTCAATATTAGGCAGTCATTCTTCCCCAAAATGAATTCCCATAGTAAGTGTAAAACACAACAAACTGAAAGTTGAACCTGTCTCTTCAAAACCAAACTGCTGAGGTAACACTTTCAACATAAGCCAGAATATTCATATGCATTGGACAAAACATTTTCATCCAACTTCTAGGAAAGCACAATCAGAGATCTTACAGGGATGAAAAAAATTGCAGTCCTCTTTAATCTGCTATTGCTACGTATGTCTTTTAACCAAGGAAACTCAAAAGCAAAACAAATAAAAGCAAAACCAAACAATGAGCCAACATGCCTAGAAAGATTTTTAATTCCTCTATAGAGAATCCCACCATTTCCTTTAGCACACCTACTTCAGCTTCCCTACCAAACAGCCAGACAAGAGATGCACGGAATTGTAGTATGAAGCCTTGCAGTAAACACTTTCCTTAAAGTTTTTTGCCAGCATTACCAGAAATGCCAAGATACTAACACCAACACTACAGCTGACCTAGGAAGGCCATCAGTATTTTTTAACTTGACTGCACAACACAGGTAACAGCACAAACTAGACGACTCTGGGAAGTGTGCTACTACCATGACTCACAGAGGGAAAAGTTTAAGAAAAGGCTAGTACACACACAGCTCAATTGCTAAGATGTTGTTGGTCACTGACAATCTCCTAATAAACAGTCTCTATTTCCACACTGCTCATTAATTATCTCAAATGCAGGAATCTGCCCTGAGACAGCACCCACATTCAGTTTCCACAGATACTTCAGAGACTTGCAAGAAACAGCCACCTCTCTATTTACAAGCTTTTAAAATATAGTAGTTTGTTTTCCTGACCAGCATAGAAATGAAACATAACAGATTCTTAAAGTGTGCACCACCGATTTTTAAAGATCCATCTCAGAGCATTTAATCATCATAAATGACAGATTCTACTAAGCATGTGTTGACCTTCAGATTTCTTGACAGGAAAAAAAATCTAATTAGATCAGCGAACAGCTGGGGAAAGCTTTCAACTCCTAAAACTTCAAGCAGCCATACACAGAGGAAGTCTCCATACTCTATTAAGCATGCCAGCTATCCTGCCATTCTTGCACTCCAGTGTGTTAAGAAAACAATCTCACATGTCCTAATTATCATGTCAACTTCCACAAAAAGCATAAGCCAAATGTTTAATAGATTCTTGCTCCTTGTCAGAAACAATGTGTTTCAGTGACGTCCTCTTGAAGAACAAATCGCTCCAGTGCTCCAAACTGAGCAAACACAAGGAGGAGGGTATAATAAAGAAGGTAAACCAGAAATCAATTTGGGTTTGTTTTTAACAGGCAGTATACTCAGTTAGTACAATTACCCTTGGTCTATCTGTTCATTCTGGCAGACATGTTATCTACCTCTACACATACACAGGGCTTCTCTTCCCCATCGAAGTAGAAGCACGCTGCAAAAAAAAAAAAAATCCCAAAGAAATGGCTGATACAGAAACTGGCCAAACATAGAAGGTAAACAGTTTGAAAAGACATTTTACTTAAAAGATGTTTACATAGTATAGTTACAATAAATTTTATAGCATTACTATTAAAAGCAATACTTCAGATGACAAACTGAAAAATGCACAAGCCTAAGTTCAGAAATTACATAATAAATAAAAACTATTACAGTTGAGCAATTTTCTGTTTCTAATACAGTAACATTTTCCCACTGCAGTAATGGTTGCAATGGAGTGGAGTTACAATGATAAATGACTGATTTTCTCATTATAATTTTAGACCAGAATATTTTATGAAATTGGAAGCGGGGGGGAAGGTGGAGCCCCAAAACCTTTCTCAAATAACTGTACCATACACAAATGATGGAAGTTGTAAAATCTAGATGTTATTATTTTACATTAATTTTTAGCTACCTAATCCCATGACATTCTTTACAACTAATCCAAGTCATTGTACTTACTCAACAACCTTTGGACATCATAAATATCACTTAATCCTGATTTGCTAAAGAAATCAAGCTTACGTGATCATGCCTTCTATTAGTCTGTTCCTCTCCCACATGAATCTGAGGATCCCTGGACCATTTCTGAGCAAACCTGACAGAGATGCGTCACGTTTGAAATGCATATACATTCCACAAAAGTTGGTATCTGGAAAAAGGTCCAAATCCACATGCTTCTTGGGAGAGGCTACAGCACCAGGCTCAGCAGTTACCCGTCTGTTCTGCCTACCTTTCTGATCTATCAGCATATACGCACCAGCCAACCAGAACCCAGCCAAAAAATATCACATTTTGTTCAGATATAATAAAGGGCTATTTGGAAGGTAAGGACATGACACAAATCTGCAGGAATTCCAACAAGCCTTTAAAGACAGAGAGCTTGATCTATGAAGAGCAATGTCGAACATTTGGCGCTTGGCCTCCCAAGTTCAGTATTGGTACTCGTTAAGCAAGGCAAGGAGAGGTTTCAGAACCCCACGGCAGGATACTGAGCCAGCACGTTGAGCTGAACGTTGCCTGGCCTGGCTAATTAGAAATTTTGATGACAATGCTTTAACTTAAAGTCTACCTTTATCCAGGACTTACAGGCCTAACACCAGAAGGAGATGTTGACTTCTCCACACCAGAAGTTAACGACCTCAGGAGTTCAACAACTTCACACAAAAACAGAGAACGGGATATTCTGTAGTTAGTGGTGCTGGTGTTGCCTTACATCTTAATTCAGTGACTAGATTTCTCACCTACACTGAGAGATACAAATTCAATTACTTTTAAATACTTTTAACCCATGTTTTCATCTTACAAAGAAGCATCCAAACACATACATTTAGAGACGGGGCAATTTCAGTCCCTCCCCTTGAAGCTATTCCTCACACATAAAAGGACTGAATATTCATGAAAGACAACTGAAGCCTAGTCTTCAGCTGCCCGAGCAGACAACTTGGATTTTGCTTCATTGTTAAAGATCATTTGTGCATTTTTACTAATCGGTCATTGGATCAAATCTAGGTATAGTTCTCTGAGCAAGGAACAAAAAAAATTCGGTGCCTCCTCCCCAGCTACATGTCCCAATTCCTAGATAGCATGGTGAGCATGGGTCTCAGCCTAAGAAAACTTTCTTGTCTTCAAAGTCAAACAGGTTCAACGCGAGGTAGGGAGCGATTGCCTTCAAAGCTGCGCATTGCCCGGAGTCAGGGCATTTACCAAAATGCGAGATATGCAAGTTTCATCTCTTTTCAAAGGAAGGGTTGAAGGCTTGAGCTCAGTTCCCCCATAGCCTAGGCAAATGCCTAGTAAAAGACAGAGAAGCAGCAGTATCGCCAGCAGCCATGTTTCTGAACAGAAGTGGCAGTCTTGTAGCTCCACGTTAGGTCTGCTCTG